ATTTTTGGTCCAAAGCAAGAAGAAGACAATCTCTGATGTAAACGTCGCGCTCGCAAATTTGGATTTCCATATCTACGCTGCATCAGAGTTACCCTGGGTGCCGGACGGTTTTTTTTTCGTAGCGAAGCTGCGATGAGTCCGAAGCACGAATTGTGCAAAATATTGTCGATGTAAAATGACTAGCCTACACGACTTCTACGGTTTGTGACATTTGTACATTTGCCGTTCTCTGTTCGGTCACTCGACCTTTTTTGTCACTTCACTCGTGTTTATGAAGGGCACTTCGTGTTGTGTAATAAGGAAGAATTTTAAGTAAAGTTGAGCCGTTAGATCGTGCCGTGGCAAATTTTTATAGGTCATAGTTCTGTATGGTTTCCGCTGTTACCTCCATGTCGCTTCGTAGACTTTGACACCTCTATAATTTGCCATGTGTTTATGCATTGTTTAGGCTCATTTCTATTGCAAGATATGCTCTCAAGTCTCCACGAATTTGCTTTTGGGGGACAAAATATGAAATTTACCGTGAGCATGTTGCTTTATACCTGCATTCTATATTGTGTCGCCGGGCCCGGCTCCCGGGGCCCGACTGTCAGTAGGTAGATCCTTATTACCGATATCATATTTGTTGTTGGTCATTCTGGCACCACATGATTCAAATGTAGCTGTTTACGGGTAAGTCTGTTGACTGTTTTGCGTGTTTTATATGCCATTGTTCGGCTTAGTTCAGGCAAGACCATGGTTTCGATCTTCCATGTGGATCTCATCAGTTGCCGGTATTTCTGAAATGCTCTGTGCGTCTGTAGTTGCCACCAGCGCAACTCGTACAGATGTGAGAATGTGAGACACAAATCTATTTTAGCCAATCAGTATTCTTGAAAGTATTGCTCGCGGTCTTTATCCAATAAGGAACCATTATATATTTCCATGCAAAAGCGTGACGTCACATAATACGATTCGTGCCAGCTCTTCGTAGACGTTCCCTCCCTCCCGTTTTTCCACGGGGGGTGGGTACGGCTACACGTAGGCTAAAACTTGACCTACAAAGTCATTAATTGAAAATGCCTTGAATTTCAACGTTTGGTGTTTGTAGAAACCTACTCCTATATGGTAATATATTATTTTGATTGTTTTCTAGTACCATAATAACATTCATTACACTCAGCAGACAAAAATAAACACAAGTAAAATTGTTCATGACTAGCAATAACGAAATTGCGTGACAACAGTGACAATCGCAATAAGGCAGTCCCCTAAAGATAACTCCAGACGTGCGATATTGAAAGCCCGAGTCCACACAGCCATGCGTCTTGTTAGCAATTAGATTATGAGCTCGCGATTTCCATGAGGTGATAGTTGATGAAACCGAAGGCCAAATCAACTATTACCTCAAAGAAATCAAAAGCGAATAATCTAAATGTTTTGGTAGAATTCTAATTTGGCCTTCCTTCCAATGACTATTCCAATTATCTCTGGTCTTAGTATTAAACTTCACGAATTAGAGAATTCGCGCGGACTGAATTGTCAATTTTGCATTTGCATGCAGTTGTGTACGCGCGCTTATCAGTTTCTTTCAAAAATTTCGAGCTTTTTTAATTCAAGAAACTGTAAAATTCCTCCTTTTAGTCTTCTCAGGAATTTGATTATCCATTTATTTCTAAATGTTCTTTCAAACCTTCGGAGAAACGAGCAAACGTTGCAATTTTGTCGACGACACCAAGCCACTACACACTAATTAAACAATAAAGTGTTTCTGTCGAGGAACTATCGGCTGATAGTTGCCCCGCGGAAATTTGATGTTCTTAAAACAAATATCTGCATCGATCGCAAATATGCTAGTTTTAAGAACATCAAATTTCCAAGGGGCAACTATCAGACCGATAGTTCCGAGGCAAAACACTCCATTGTCTTTTATTGTTCACCACTAAATTTTCTTCCGCCCGCCAGTTCAAAAATCATATTGAATCATTTTCAACTTTTTTAGAAAGCCGTGAAAGCCAAATGTAAATTTGAAAATGAAAATAGTAAGAAACCCACTGAATACAATTTGAATTGTTTATTTTCTATTAGCCCGCTTATTTATAGAAACATTTTCACCGACGAGTGTTATCCATCCGGGTATTTTCCACACCGACGAGCACTATGGGCTGATAGTGTCATTCCGCAAATGAACACTATCGCGTCACGTGATTAATTTAAACCAATAAGAATCAAAGAAAATTTAGTGGTGAACCACAATGGCAGATAGTCTGCAATGCCTCAGCCAATCAAATTGTAGCATTAGCATTAGTATACTAGCCGAATTCTACTAATGGCTGATATTGCACGATCACTCAGCTAATCAGGTTGCAGCATTTGCACTAGTGTTCGAGTTGAACTCTACTAATGACTGATATTATGGGGTAGCCTAAGCAATCAAATTGCGGCATTGACCTAAGGCCCCGTTAATACTAGCACTACGCCGGAGGAATTTAAACAGAGGTTTCACTTTGAAAACGCATCAAATGTTTTTTGTCCACACCACGCCGGTGAAATTTAAAAACGCAACAATCACGGGTCATTTTAGATTCCTTTTGTGGTAAACGCGGTCAGGAAAATCTCATGATTATTGTGACGCCACCTTTTTTAAAAAGCTCCGTTTTCAAAACGTTTTCCGTCCATACGAAAACCAAAAGCCGGCTTTTTCGAATTTCTCAGGGTTGAAGAGGTTGGGGAGCAGGGATGGCGTACTGGTGAGAGCGCTTACCTCTTACCAATGTGGGCCAGGTTCAATTCCGACCCTGTGCGATATGTGGGTGGATTTTGCTGTTGGTTCTCGCCATGCTCCGAGGGGTTGTTTTCTGGGTTCTCCGGTTTTCCTTCCTCCACTAAAAACCAACATCTGAAAATTCCAATTCGACCATGATAGAGGACCCGCATTCAAACCAATTAAGGCTGATGCGGTTTCCTCTTCAAATATTGTAATTTTATCGAGAAGCTCCATTTTCGAGAAAAATTAGTGTGGATGGTAGACCTAACCA